CTAATGCATTCGTTGTCAGTGCTTTAAGTACATTCACTTCCAAACTCCGCAACAGATCTCTATCTATTATCACCCCCTTTTCTACAAATACTTTCCGAAATCAAACGAAAATCTCACCTTGCCTCCAGCACCCACTCGCATATCGTAGAGATTAATAACTTTTCAAGGAAGAGGGGGTAGATGTCATCATCTTGCACAGCCGAGATAGGGCTGATGCACCGCTACACTACCACGATAGCGCGGCGCTTGTCATGTTCAACTCCATAACGCCCCAGGATATATTGGCTCAGAAGCCGAATAATGGCAGGGCTGGAGGCTTGGACGCTTCCTGGATTGCCAATTGTGGAACTCAGATCATCTTACAGTAAGCAGACTTGCATATAGGGGTATCTCTAGATCATCTCTCGAGACGTCAGTTCCGGGGCTTTGCTACAATGTCAACATCCGGAAGGTCTTCCTGGAACCTTGCTTCATGAGGCTTAGGTTTTCGGAAACTATGAGCTTTCATTGGTTTTCATTGTCAACAGCCTGCATTTTGTCCCAGCAGCTGAGCATACCTGCAGGGCTCTCAGCCTTTGAGAAGCCGAGAGATATAGTATCAAGAATGATGACTACCTCAGGATGCTTCCAATTAATAAAGGGATGCATCTTCTCTCTTGTAATTACCTGTCTCCCGAGTGTTGCTTTCATAGCTCTTGTTGTACACCCATTCTTGATTTCTCCTTGACTATCCTCTCGCCCTCTACCTCACACGATCATGGCATCCCATCTATCTGATGTAGTTAAAACAGCTACTGGTATCGAACAGACAACAATCACCGGCCCAACCAATACCAGTAAACCCCATCTTGTTTTTGGTGCAACTCCTGTGGACGGCCACACGTACCCCTTGATTCGAATCGCAGAAGATCTCGTCCAGCGTGGCTTCGAGGTCACTTTCATCGCCGGCCACCAATTCGAAAAATCAATCACAGACGCCGGTGCTCGACATGTTGCCGTCCCACCTCTAGTGAGCCCCAAGCTTATGGCAGAGCGTGAGGCTATCCCCGCCGGCATTCCTCGGCTTCTTTATGATATCAGACATATCTTCACTGGACAAACCCCTGAGCGCTGGAGGATCCTCAATGGAGTTCTCGAGAGCATCAGAGCTGAGGACCCAGAGAGGGAAGTGGTTGTTATGCCAGAGACGTGCTTCATGGGTGCCAATCCTATCTCTCTCGGTGGGCCTCTCCCCAAAGGATACACCAAGCGGCCCATGGTAATCAACTTGAATCCTATTCCTTACATGGCTACCAGCATCGACACTGCGCCTTTTGGTCCGGGTCTTCCTCCTGACTCAACAGAATCTTGCCATGCCAGAAATCAATTCATGAACCAGATGATGGTTGGTGGACCTTTTGCTGATGTTATCGCCCATCAGGAAGAGGTTCTCAAGAATCTTGGCGCCACTGAGATTCTAGAGCCTCAGATTCCTTTTCACCATTGGATGCTCATGCATGATCTTTCGATCCAAATGTGTCCTCCCAGTCTCGAGTACTCTCGATCTGATGTGCCATCCAACGTCAAGTTTTCAGGTTGCGCAACACCCAAACCTATTCCTGCGGATTTTAACTATCCTTCTTGGTGGGATGATGTAAAGCGTGGTGACCGACGTATCATTGCTGTAACTCAGGGAACCATTGCTCGCGACGCAACCAATCTTATCATTCCTACTATTGATGCGCTCTCTGACCGCGATGACCTCCTCGTGGTAGCAATCCTCGGGCAAAGAGGTGCTTTTCTCTCTGACGACATCCCTATTCCTTCCAACACCCGCGTCATCGATTACCTCCCCTACGACGCTCTCTTACCTCATGCTTCAGTGTTTGTCATGAACGCTGGATATGGTGGCTTTCTTCATGGAGTAACCAACGGTGTTCCTTTGGTTCTTGCAGGTGAGACCGAGGACAAACCGGAGATTGCAATGCGCGGAGAGTGGAGTGGTGTTGCGGTCAACTTGAAAACGGGTAGGCCTACACCTGATATGGTACGGTTAGGTGTCGAGCGTGTTTTGAGAGATGATAGCTTCAAGAAGAGGGTTGATGAGATCAAGGCCGAGAATGAAGCAATGAAATTCTTTGACTTTATCGAGGAGCAGGTTCTCTCTGTTGAAAGCTTTGAGGCATGATTTGCTTCGGCATACGATAGTCTCGGCATCACTCATAATACATTATTTCTGAAGAAACTGAACCTATGATTGATGTTGATGCCATGTGTAAGAAAAAGTCTCCGAGGGCCTCCGGTCCATCGACTCTGTTCCTCCGTCCGGCTCCGGCTCCAGCGGGGCCGCGGTTCCTTAAATAGGCCGATTATTACGGAGCATCGCCCGGAGGGGAAAGGTCTTTATATCTGATCGTTTATATATAAAACAGACTTCTAGAGTCGCCGGACCAAGTCCAAGGCTTTTTGATCATTCAGGCCCAGAGCACCTCAATCAGGGCTTCATCATGGCAACCTCCAAGACCTCGCCTCTGGCTTTCATGCATGCTTTTAGTCCAGCTGTGTCATATTTTCGGCCCGGTATAACAACATCAACAACTCCCAAAACCACGACCTCTGGTGATCCTTCACTCATTATCATTCTTTCGTGGTCGGAAGCTCGCGATATTCATATAGCAAAGTACATCTCTCAGTATCGCGAGCTCTATCCAACATCTGCCATACTCCTATTCCGCGCTTCCACTAAGCTATACATTCAGCCAGCCCTACGTCGTCGCCTGTTTGAGCCTGCTTTGCCAATTCTACAGTCGGTTGACACCAAGGAAGATTATGCACCCAACTTTCTCATCCATATCTTTTCCAACGGGGGTGTCAGTTCTGCTGCCACGCTTTGGGAGATATGGGAAACTTCACTAGGCGGGAAACCAATTCCTCGACATGCTGTCGTGATGGACTCGTGCCCCGGGTACTTCCATTGGAAACGAGATCACCATGTCCTCTCAACCGGGGTCCCGCCATTTCTATCCCCCGTCGTCTGGGTGTTCCTGGGCTTTGCATGGGTGTACTACAAACTATGGTTAGGTGTGGAACCACATACTGCCTATGCCTCGGCTCTCAATACGCCTGAGAGAATCAGCCGGGAGACTATGCGGGTATACATTTACGGAGATGCAGACCTCTCGGTTGGTTGGGAGGATGTTGAATCACATGCCCAACAAGCAAAGGATAACGGCGCTGTAGTCAGAACAGAGAAATTCGCTGGAGGTGCCCATGTCGCTCATGTCAGAGTTGATGCTAAGAGATACTGGAAGGCTGTCCAAGAGACTTGGCAAGGGAATGAGCTTTAGATTAGATATTCATTCTTGTGTATGAATATAATAGACATTATTGAGTCTATACATAGATATATTACATTCGTTCAGTATGGTTGCGTTGCCTCCAAGATCCTGAAAGTCCCTGCTCATTATTAAGTACCACGGTTTCTTCTCATCTCACGATAGAACGTGTATATGTCGATCGTCGATAGTTCAGTAGAAGATCAGCCTGTCTGTCCCATTATGCCTAGTTCCCGAAAGAAAGCCCGACGCCGATAAGTGTATGCTTTGTTCAAGTCCTCTGCTTCTTGGAGGCATCGCTGGATTCTCCTCGCTCCCCAGCTGTTCTCTTGCCGAGGCTGCTTTGTGTTTGTGTTTGTGTTTGTGATATCTGTTGAAATGGCATTCTGTGACTCTCATCTAATCCTCCGACGCCCTCGTCTTCCTCATGACATACGGAGCATTCTTGGCTGAAATCGTGCTCTTGGACGAGGATACCTCGGCGGCATCCACCAAACCATCCGTTGTTCTTAGCCTCAAGGCAGGACAGTTCTTGGGTCAAGTCAACCCAAGTCTGAGGCTGGTCGCAACACGTGCAATGTCCTCTGAAAATCATCATTCGGCACATGTCTGCACTAAAGAATTGGCCGGTGATACCTCAGCGATGCGTGGCACGATACCACGATGTTAGGCGTAGAGACTTGTTGGAGAGTCAGTGTCTGTGAGTGTAGGCGTTTGTTGGTGAGAATTACCTTGTCTTGGCGGCCCTGCTTCTTGTATTGGGAATACTCGCGATGTCTCAGTTGGGGAAGATGCCGAATACCGAATTGGTGTCTTCATCAAGCGATGCTCTGTAACGTGAGACGCGAGACGAGTGAGTGCCGAGGAGAGTAGCAAGCCACAATGCAACGTCGACGTTGATGCCAGAGAGAAAGCCACAGAATTGTCGATGTTTCTTTGATATGCAATTCGTGGGTAATAAAAAAGCAACAAAATAAACTTGGCGTTGGTTGGTTCGTTGTTAATTGATAGCCACCAACAGCAAGGCAGCAAAAAGGGTGGTGTTGAAATAAACCAGTAAACGTTTGACACCAGTATGAAATGTCGTGCTAAAGAGAAGAAGGAGAAGATCTACCGCGGGAGATGAAGAATTAAAAATCGCCGTGCCGGCCTGGCCATGGGATAAAGTGATAGGACATGGTGATTTTAATATACCTAGGTTTACATAAGAAGCTCTGAGGATGGGTGAGTGAGGCGCAATGATGGACGTGCTACAGCATAGACTACACCCCGCGATAAAACATTCGTAATTCGACGAGGCAGCGGCCAACTCTAATTACTCCTTTTTCCCTCTTTTCTACACCCCTACCTAGGTACTGAAACGTCACGTCACGTCACGTCACGTCACACATACATACATACCTAGATGCAGATACAACATAAAACAGCCAGAAACGGACGTGTCTTAAAATTTGGCACTTCCAGGCCTCATCTCACCTCTGATGGGCACGTTTAGGCAACGGTTGTCATGAAAGGTCCAAGCGATAGTTATTCAGCTGCCTCGCATCAACACATCACTTCCAGTTTCATTCTAATGTTTCATTTCCTCCCCTTGGCTTTAGGGCAATAAGCTTTTCTCCAATGCTAGGGCATGTATGTATGTATGTACATACATCCATCCGTATGGTATGGTTTTGCCACACCTAACTAACTAGTACTGTAGTAGTTGGTTTCTCCTTCACTGCCACCGCCTGACAATTCCCGAGCCCTTCGCTTCTGAGTTCTAGACTCTAAGTTTGAATCCTGCTCTTGAAAGTTGACCCATTTCGTGGGGGTCCTTTGTGGGTTCTCGACCCTATTCTGGAAAGCTTTATCTTCGGCAGTAACCGATATCATGGTCTCTACTGTTGGACCTGGTGATAGCTTCAGATAGTTATTTGGAATTACAGAGACGTACCGAGTCTCGTCGACTTGCCGAGGCATTATCCAGAGGCAAATGAGGCCATTCGCAAAATGCTGTCTTCCCGGAAGACTAACGCCTTGATCTTCAAACACCACAGCCATCATCATCACACATGACGATCCTGCTAAGCAGGGTAGGGTTCTCATGGCGGTGATCAAAAAGCCCCATCTCCTCGGCTCTTGTTCTATTGAGTATCTTCAGTGGCCACGGGAAGACGTTTGCTGGGGATAACCTTTCGCGGCTCGGGTTCTCATCCCCAGAGTCTTTGGCGTGTTGTGCCTGGCATGAGAGGCTGAGCTAGAGCAAACTCCGGGGCATTTAAATTTAATTCCATTTTGAACAAAGGATTTCGATTAGGGCATTGTTTAGCATACCCGCAATTCCTGATTCCGTGAGCTCATGATGCTAATCTTTGGCTAGACTTTGTATAATCCTCCTGCATGATCTTGATATCCAATATCACGATGATATCTCCCACCTTAGGCTTCACATGTGCCGATTTCTTCGTTCTGTATTCCACCAGCCACCGTGACTGGAATTTCTTGGGCCTCCACAGACCATCATAAAGCCTACTAGCTCTCCCACTATTCGTCTCGGGGCGTCATATCAAGTACCCAACCAACGTTCTACGGGCGTAGCTCACTGGTTTTATGCTTCTAGACTAAACGTCCGTCAGTTTCATCCAAACACTCTCTGATCTTGGGTTTCAACGTTCCTGAGCTCACATGTACCGAGTTCAAATTTGACGGCTGAGGTTTAGCCGTTGATCATGATGAATCTGAGTGCCTCGTGCACTTACCCTCCGGCGAGCTTCCTCCGGTGGACAGCCCGAACACTGAGGTGAGAAGTGTTTTTTTACCAGGTGGTGTAATGCGCTCGTGATCTCAAGTAGGTCAAGATCCGTTGCTTGATGTTTCTCCAGCTCTAACTCCTGGACTTCGGGGGAGACACTAGAAAGATGCAGTCCACTTTAGCCAGTGTCTCCAAAGACTTTCTCTCCTCTTGAGACTTCAGAGACTGCTCAATCACTCTTCTGCGGCTCCAGGATGACATATTTTCTCCTTGGATATCCTATTTTTTTTTTTTTTTTTTTTTTTTTTTTTTATTTT